CGAGACGGGAGGCGGCGCCGGGCGGCGCGCCGGCGCGGCCGCCGTCGCCTGCGCCTGGGCTGCTGCGGCGCAGCAGGTGCGGCTGGCAGCGTCCTGGGCGGCGGGCTCCGCATGCGGCACGGTCACCTGCGCCGCCGCTTCTTCGCCTTTCAGCCCTGCAGCGCAAATGGATGCCCATCCAACGAATCAGGCATTGCCCGCATCTTGCCATGCCGGGTGTCGAAAACCACGCGTCGGTCACACAAGCAGGTCTCATCGCAACCCCGGCCCCTGGCTCCCTGCGGCCCGGCCCCCCTTTGCATCCCCCCTTCTGCCCCGCAGGAGCGAGGCGCACCTGGCTGCGTCTGCGGGCGCAGCCGCGTGCACCTTCTCTCCGGCCACCAACGCCGCCAGCGAGCGCCTGCTGGCGCACAGCAGGGAGATACCCTCGGGATTCATGGAGCGGCAGGTGATCACCTACACACACACATACACACACACACACGCACGCGTGTGTACTGCGCACGTGCACGCGGGGGGAAGGGGGGCAAGCCTTGGCGGCGTCGTGTCTCGCATTTTGCCGCCGCAGCCATGCCCCCAGGGCAGCGGCCTATGTCGCTATGTGTTCGTGCATGCACTGTCGCGGCCTCCTAGACTCCCAACAATTGATGAGCCAGCTGCACTGCAGCAACCAGCGTTCCCCCCAGCTGTCCAGCGAGAAGGCGGCAAATCCAAAAAATCACTGAACTGGCAAAACCACAATCAACAATCCTCACGCATTGCATGGTTACTCAATCGCCCGCGCAGCGGTACTTTGAGGCGCTGCGCACCGAAAAGATGCTGCTGCTGCAGCTGGCCGCAGAGGACAAGGAGTGCCGCTTCACCGCCCCCAAGACGCCGCGCGCCGGGCCGACGGCCAGCCCGCGCGGCGCGCGCGAGCGGCAGGATACGAGCTGGGTGGCGGATGACGTGGGAGGCGGCACGTGAGAGAGAGACGTGGCGGCGTGTCATGGCATCAATGCACGCCGCGTCGCGGCCACCTGTTTTGGGGGGCCGAAGGCGAGGCCGCGGCTTGTCCTGAGCAAATCTGCCTTGGCTCACCCGCTTCCTTGAAAATTTGTTCTATTTTGGCCATAGGTCTTGTGGTAATGCCCTGAGACTCACAAGTGACTTGTCCACAAAACACACATACACACTCACACACTCTCGATCACATACAAAAATACACGCATGCATTCAACACATTACACTCACAAACAGGTACAAACGAACGTACACGTACTCTCAGACATACGCAACGCACACACATACACACACCACACACAGCAAACACACACGCTGTCAACGCACTTCACCCACCCCAGGCCCCACCAAGGCTACCTGGACCGCATCGAGCGCGTCGCCTCCGCCGACAAGCGCCGCGCCGACGCGCGCCGCGACGCGCTCGCGGCGCACCTCCTCGCCGCGCAGTGCACCTTTTCCCCCGAGATCTGCCCCCGCAGCCGCACCATGGCGCGCAACACGCCGCTCGAGGTGCGGGGGGCAGCGCCGCCGCTGCGGCGGGGCGTGCGGGGGCCGCCTGATGATGTGCGGGCCGGGGTGCAGCTCTGGCAGTGTCCTCGGCGCGAAGCAGAGATTCTATTGTAGCTTATAAACAGCGTAAGGGACGCCCGGCGGCAAGAGGGACTGCGACCGGCAAGCCGCCTTGCCTGTGGGCGCTTTCTCACCACGTACAGCATCCGCAACGGGCGTCCTGCTCTCCACCTCCAAACCCTCCATCCCCCGCCCCCAAATGCCCCCTGCCCCGCGTCCGTCGGCACGCAGGAGCTCTCCGCAAACAGCCGCGGCCGCGCGCGCCGCGCGGCGGCGGCGGCGGAGGTTGCAGCGGCGCGAGAGGCGGAGTGCACATTCGCCCCAGACTTGTCGAAGGGCGCGGCCCGGCACGCGCCGCAGCTGGCGATCACAGAAGAGGCGAGCCGCCCCCCGCGCACGCAGCAGCGGAGGCAAACGCTCGCCTTTGAAGGGCCGCCGCTGATGTACCGGCAGCGGCCCTCGCGTCTCGTCAGCTCTCCGCCACGATGAGTGCGTGTATTGCCGCTGATGTCACCCGATGACGTCATCATGTGTACTGCTGGCGCGTCAAACATGAAACGTACGTACAACCCCCCCCCCCATCCCGCCCCCGCCCCAGGAGGCCCAGGACCTGGTTGACCGGCTGTACAGCGCCGCGGCCATCGGCGCGCCATCGGGCGCCGCCCCGTACCGCTCCGCGCGTACCGCCGGCGTCGCGGCGGAGGCGGAGTACTCTGAGCTGCTGGAGTGCACCTTTGAGCCCAACGCCAGGGGCCGCCCCGCGCCGGTGCCGCAGCCACGGGTGAGGACGTGGCACGGGCGCAAACGCGGCGGGGGGACGGCAGGGCGGGTCGTGGGGCGTGAACGATGTGCAGATGCGGGGCGGAGTTTTGTCATGTGGTGGGCGTTATGCGGCCGCCCAGATGGCGGAGTACCGAACGGAGGGCCCCCGGCAGGGGTAGCCGCCGCGCCTGCCACGGTGCAAAGGCAGACGCGCAGACAGCTTCCAATGCGCAAACGCTCCCTGCAAACCATACACGCGCCGCCGACGTCCCCGGTTCGATACCCCTCGCCGGCGCAACTTTTTCGTCGCGACAGGGGCCGGTGCTGATAAAGGGCCTGGGGCGCTTCCTGGAGCTTCAGGACATGGCGCGCCGCCAGAGGCAGGAGCAGGAGGCGCTAGAGGCGCGCGTGTTTATGAAGTCGCCGCGGCCCCCCCAGGCGCCCTTCACGCGGCCAGAGCCCTTCCGGCTCGCGACGGGCGGCGCCGGACGCGACGGCGCCGCGCTCGAGGCGCGCGCGGGCGCGCGGCGCGCGCGCGCGGAGCGGGAGGCGGCGGCGGCGGCATTCGGGGAGTGCACGTTTGCGCCGGCGGCGGCGGCCGGGGGGCGG